GTATGCTGTGGAGTCAATTCCAACTCATAATTACTCTGCATAGGTTTTCAAGGCTGTAAATCTTTACGGGAGCAGAAAACCTCATCTTTCTCCTATGGAATGGCTGGTAGTTTCCAACTGCTGACCTTGAGGTTAGCAGCCTGACTTGTAACCACTATACAACCAGAGAAAGCTCCTTGGGTAATTTTAATAGTAGCAATTCTAATCAATTTAAAAATAATTCTAATCAATTTTTGCTTGCCAGTACTTTTCAATGCTTCTTTAGTCATCATAAGCACCTATGACATAGAAATCACTGTAACCCCATTACACAGATGAGGAAATTGAGTCACACAGATGTTTGGCAATGTGCCCAGATAGTTCATAAATATCTGTGTGTTAAACTCAAGTAGTCTGAGTCCTTAACAACAGTATTATACCTGCCGCATTTCTCAAGCTGGGGTAACTGAAGGAAAAATTCAAGCCTCGACTTTCATTATTAAGGATTCTCTGTGAAAATTGTTGAATGATGCAGAAAGCATCAAAAGAAGATGGAAGGAATATACAGAGTCACTGTGCCAAAAGGAAATGGTCAATGTTCAACCATTTCAAAGGGAACATATGAACAAGAGCCAATGATACTGAAGGAAAAAGTCCAAAGTGCATTGAAGGAATTGGCAAAGAAAAAGGCACCGGGAATTGATGGAATAAAAATGGAAATCTTTCAAGCAAGCGAGGCGGCACAGGAGCCAGTCACTCATCTCTGCCAAGAAATTTGGAAGACAACTATCTGGCCGACTGATTGAAAGAGATCCATATTTGTGCCCATTCCAAAGAGAGGTGACCCAACGGAATGTGGAACTCATCGGACAATATCTTTGATATCCAATGGGAGTAAAATTTTACTAAAGGTAATACCGAAATGGCTGCAAGCATACATTGACAAAGAACTTCCAGAGATTCAAGCCAGATTCAGAAGAGGACGTGGGATGAGGGATATCATTGCTGTTGTCCGATGGATCTTGGCTGAAAGCAGAGAATACCAGAAGGATGTTTTCCTGTGCTTTATTGACTACACAAAGGCTTTTGATTGTGTAGATCATGACAAACTATGAACAACATTGCGAAGTATGAGTATTCGTGAGCACTTAATTGTGCTCATGAGGAATCTGTACATGGACCAAGAATCAGTTGTTCAAACAGAACATGGGAACACTGAATGGTTTAAAATTAAAAAAGGTGTGTGACAAGGTTGTATTCTTTCACCATACATACTCAACCTGTATGCTGAGCAAGTAATCTGAGAAGCTGGGTTCTATGAAGAAAAACATGGCATCAGGATTGGAGGAAGACTCATTAACAACCTGTGATATGCAAACGATACAACCTTGCTTGCTGAAAGTGAAGAGGACTTAAAATATTTACTGATGAAGATCAAAGAGCACAGCCTTTGATCTGGATTACATCTCAATGTCAAGAAAACAAAAATCCTCACCACTGGACCAATAAACAGCATTCTTATCAATGGAGAAAAAATTGAAGTTGTCAAGGACTTCATTCTTCTTGGATTAAAGAACTCAAATGATGTGTTGCATTAGGCAAATCTTTGCACAAGACCTTTTTAAAGTGTTGAAGAGCAAAGATGTCAGCTTAAAGACTAAGGTGCGCCTGACCCAAGCCATGGTATTTTCAGTAACCTCATATGTATGCGAAAGCTGGACAATGAATGAGGAAGACCGTAGAAGAATTGGTGCTCTTGAGTTATGGTGTTGGAGAATATTGAAAGTGCCATGGGCTGCCAAAAGAACCAACAGATCTGTGTTGGAAGAAGTGCAGCCAGAGTGTTCCTTGGAGGCCAGGATGGTCAAACTTTGTCTCTCATACTTCGGACACATTGTCAGGACGGACCAGTCCCTGGAGAAGGATATCATGTTTGGTAAGGTGAAGAGTCAGACAAAAAGAGGAAGACACCCAGCAAGATGAATTGGTAAAGTGGCAGCATCAATGGGCTCAAACATGGCACCAGGTTGGTTCAGGACCAGGGATGTTTCATTCTGTTGTGCTATATATAGGGTCGCTAAGCATTGGTACTAAGTTGATGACACCTAACAACAACAATAACAAATATTGAAGAGACATTTAGGTTAGGGGATGTGTGAGGTGGAGAAGGGTGGTCATATCATAGTTAGCCAAACAACCCAAAAGTTTATAATAAAATAATAGTAACATTAACTTAGATTGGAATTCTCATTTGCTGCCTATTGCACCAGTAAATGGTGTGGCATTATAGCCTAATGTGCTGGACTGCAAAGGCAATTTGAACCACAAGGTGAGGGGTTCAAGCTCACCAGCCTTTCCTTGGAAACCCTATATAGAGCCACTATGGTTCGGAAATGACTCAACGGCACTTAACAACAAAATTGTAGCAGCAAAAGCTCTGGTGATGCAGTAGTTACAGTGCAAACCCACCAGCTGCTCCATGGTGAAAGACCGTCTGCTTCTGTAAAGCTTTGCAGCCTTGGAGACCCTCTGGGGTAGTTCTACTCTGTTGTTTAGGGTTGCTATGAGTAAGCCTCTACTCAACAGCAGTGGGTTTTTGGTTTGGTTTGGTTTGGTTTGGTTTGGTTTTTGGAATCCTGGTGGCACCAAGGTTAAGTGCCTGACTGCTAACTAAAAGGTTGTTGCTAACTAAAAGTTGCTCCGTGGAAGAAAGATGTGGCCGTCAGCTTCATAAAGATTTCCAGCCTTGGAAACCCTGTGGGACAGTTCTTCTCTGTCCTATGAGGTCATTATGAATCAGAATAAACTCAGAGGCAGTGCGTTTAGTTTGCTTTGGGTTGGGTTGTACCAAGCAATGTACTAGGTGCTGAGGATTCAGTTCTGAATAAAGTCTACGTTGTTCCCGCCGAAACAAGACTCAGAGTCTAGTGAGGATGCATAAAAGTGATGAGGTCTTCGTAACACATGTGCTTTCATGGGTAAGCATGTTCAGAGGAAGGCACCTGACCCAAACGTAGCCCTCTGACATGTTAGTAAGTACTGCCCTGTCTCATGATGCTTGAAACGAAGATGAGTTAGTTTGGAGGTGTTTCCGCAGGACCAGACTTCTCGTTCCCTTTACCTTGTAGATGACATGCTGATCCTTCCTAGGACAGACTGTGGGAATGAATGCAACCACCCTGAACTCTCGGTAGGACCCTCTGTTTGCTCCATGCTTCAGAGCCACAGCTGGCATGAAGCAGGACACACTTTAGTAATGAAACCCCTAATGAGGGCCAACATGAACTTTCACACCAAAATTTTGATCTCTAAAATGCAGTTGTGGAGTACTGGTATCTCAGAGTCCTGACCAGATATTTAAGTCTTTTCTATAAAATTTTCAACAAATGTTGTTCAGCCTCTATTAGAACTCTATTTATATAGTGATATGTTCATGACCTGTAACGTTGTTGTTGTTAAGTGCTATGGAATTGGTTCTGACTCATAGCAACCCTGTGTAGGTTTCTGAGGAGTGGTTGGTGGGTTTGAACTGCCGACCTTGAGGTTCAAACCATCCTTGCAGTCCAGTGCTTATCCTACAGTGCCACACCAGGATTCCTGACCTGTAATATACCACTATACAAAGTGGCCCTCTCTGCATTATAGAATGCTCTAGCTACTTACAAAATTTCCACTTTCAGAGAGCTGCAATTGAATCCTCTATGACTTCCACCTGAAGTTTTATAATTTTGTTCTCTTGAGCAGGACCGAGAGCTTTGCAAGCGTTTGCAGACAGCTCCCACTCTTCCCTGAAGGGCGCATGCACATTTGGAGGTATCCAAAAGCCTCAAATAACATGGTGGGATGGGCAAGCAGAGCCCAGAGTGCTATGGTGGACTCTCAGTCTCAGTATGTGAGCACAGATTTTGGAAGCAGACAGATCGGAGTTCAAGTCCCAGCTCAGTTATGCACAACTGTGTTTATCTACAACTCTGTGAGCTTGAGTGAGTTGTTAAATCATATGAGGAAAACGGCAACTACTTGTCAGTGAAGATCCCATTAGTCAAGCCTGGAGATACCATGCTTGGTGTTGGTCATAGTACATGCTCAGGAAATGAAATGCAAAAAGTGTGTGGGCAGATGGCACTTATTTGATTTTGCATCTAAATCTATGGAATATCTCTTTGTGGCAGTGATTCTCATCTACAGAGCTTTAAAGTCATTTCACCCATTCCAAAAGTTCTGTTTTAAGTTTCTATTACAGCTTGTTCTCTGAGTAACCTTGTCGTTAGAGGCCATGGAGGTGCCCATAGGATTTTCTGTGCAGGAGAATCTTTACAGGAGCAGATGGCTAGATCTTCCTCCCACAGAGCCACTGGGTGAGTTTGAACTGCCAGCCTTTTGGTTAGTATTCAAGTGCTTAATCACTGTGCCACCATTCCATTGAAAAACAACAACTGAGCTTTTTGAAGTTAGAAGACCTGAACTCAAACTCTAATTCAGTTCCTTTTCTATGCTCTTGAACCCTGGTGTTAAATTGTCTGCCTTGGTTTTTCACTTATAAAATGCACTAGCATGGGAGAAATACAGCAAATACCTAATATAAAGCCTTGTGGAACCGTGAGATTCAGCAGATTAGCCAGGAGTAGCGTGACTGAATTTGAAAAGCAGTTATGAGCAAAGCAAAGTAATTAACAGAATTAAAAATATGAGACTGCCATTTAGTAAAGTAAGACACAAATAATCTTTCACATCCAAGCAAACTATAGAAATCGAACACATTGCAATTATCATCTATGGGAGGAAGAGCCTGTAATAAGCAAGGTAGGAAGGTAAAAGGGATCTCGACAAATTAAAAAAGAAGTAAATATATGAATAATGCAAACAATGATGTTCCTTACCTTTCCCATAAAGTTTTTCTGAGTAGCTGATGAGATTATGTATATGATAGCAAAAAGACAATGTATTGTGTTTTTTTTTTTTAAATTATGAACTTCATATTGGACAACTGAACTGAACAGAGTTCAATAGAAATTCTCCATCACTTTGCAGCAGGAAGCTGTTACCAGGGCAGTGCCCAGGAAGGCTTGCCTTGGCTTCAGAGTGTGCTGGTGAGATGACTTCAAAGTTCTTCATGAAGAAGAGGGGCAGGCTGTGCCCTCGCTTTGGGAGATACCACTTGCTGGCAGAGCCAGAGGCAGCAACAGCTTCTTCCCATGGATGTGCAGCAAATGGCCCACATGGGCCCTCGGAAGAAGAGAGCCAGACAAATGGGCACATCAGTGGCCTCCTCTCCTCATGACATCAAATTTCAGGATTTGGTCCTCTTCATTTTGGAGAAGAAAATGGGAACCACCCGCAGAACCTTTCTCATGGAGTTGGCTCGAAGGAAAGGGTTCCGAGTTGAAAATGAGCTCAGGTAGGGCACCACTGATTTCATTTTGTAAGTAAGCTGGGACTTTATGAGCAGATCCTTTGAAGCCCAAGAAAGATGTACTTTCTTCCACACATGGAAGAGGGGATGTTCCTACTGGGAGGACAACAGATCTGAAATGCAAAAAGCAATCTTGAGACAATTAAGGGAAAGAGAGGGAGGGCTGAACACAATTATATTGAAACTATTGTTGTTGTTAAGTGCTGTTGAATTGGTCTCAACTCATGATGACCCTGCATTGGGTTTCCAAGGAATGGTTGGTGAGCTTGAACCACCAAACTTGCGGTTCAAACCAACTTTGCATTCCAGAGCATTATAACCTACAGCATCACATGATAAAATAGCTTTCTATTTCTTTTGCCTTTCACTATTATGAGACAAGGTATCCAGGTAAGAGATAAGGTATCTAATAAACGGAAAACTATTTGGAAATTTTAATAATGAAACCACTCAATTTTATTCTTGACCAAATTAAGCAAAATATCACTGAGTTAAATTAAAATTCTTCAGCTACTGTAAGACAGATAAAATGGTTTAGCAGCTTGACTCTTACCTAAACATCTGGCTGTGCTGAGCTGACCAGTGTTTGGAGTAGGACTAGTAACTGTAGCTGTCTCAGTAAAGGCACCCAAGTGTGTCTTTGAGCATGCTTTTCTGAAAAGCAATTCTGGTGGGATTCACAGACAAAGGGATGCTGGTTAATGATTTAGCTGCAACAATGTCCAGGGGTGATCTAATACCATGCTGAATGTGATGAGATCAGAGCCCAGGCTAATTGGAATTAAAGTAACCATTTGGGCTACTTAGACTGGTTCACTCATAAACCCACTCACGAATCCCAGCAAGCATCCTGTTGTTGTCTAACCTTTATATAAGTTGATATATATAATAGATGTAAGAGAAAACAAAACAAAATCCAGCAACAAGTGGTATTAGAACTTTGACATAAATGCTGGTTCCAAACCAAACAGCCATGGGGTTTGCAATGAAGAAAAAAAAATGACGATTAAAGCACTTGTCTGGCTTGGGGTGTCCAAGGAATAGATCAACCACATTTTTTTTCCCAGGAAAAATCTCTAAGAATTATATGCAAAAATAAATATTTAATCTTAAAATAATCATTAGAAAACAAAAACTGAGCAGGATTTTCTGATGAAGGAATGTGAGCTTTAAAATGTTGGGGAGATCTACTTCAAAACTCAATCACCAGAGATGATCATTTTCACTAACACCCATGTAAAAAGTCAGTGTCACAGGAATATTTTATTTCTACTAAAATGCTCAATTCAGAAGTGTTTCCCTTTGTATCATTTCCTTTATCCCTGCTATGTTTTGTTTTGAATGTCCCTGACAGCCACCCTCAGTCTTATTTTGGGCTTAACATCCATTCTGTAATAACCTGTGGATTTCATCTCATTGTTAAACTGTTTATATAAATCTGTAAAATCTGCCTAATTTTACAGATTTATATAAACAGTTGGTGCTGGGGGCTGAGGATGGAGTGGAAATACATAAGAGACCAAGGAACAGTCCTTCAAAAATCAGTAAAAACACAAAAAAAACAATCCCACTGCCACCCAGTCCATTTCAGCTCCTGGAGGCCCTACTTGGTACAGAGCAGAACAGCTCCATCATGTTTTATTGGCTGTAAACTTTACGGAGTCTGATCACCAGGACTTTCTCCCGCAGTGCTAGTAGGTGGGAGAGTAATTGAGTGCAAACTGTATGTGCCACCCATTGTCCCCAGCAACAACAAAAACAAAAAGTAAAACCAGTAAAGAAGAAAAGTTTTAAATGTCCCCAGAAATTAAACTCCTTAGCTAATACAGACCTGCTTTCTGCAGTAAAGAAACGTTATCAAGGGCTTGGCAAGAAGGTCAGATGATCCTAAGGTACCACTTACATGGAAACTCTGTTAAAGCGTCCAAACTTCCAGCCAGGGTCCACTACTGTAACTATCTACACAGCTATGAACATGTCCATGGCGTCTGAGGAATACACTCAGGTCGACAGCAGGAAGTAAAGAGTCTTCTATTGGCAAGAAAGCTAGAGAGGCAGCTCTGTGCTCCAGGTGCCTGCTGCTCAGGATGAGCCCAGCTGCTGTCACAGAGGAAATGGGTACACCGTGAGCAAACTGTTACTGTGCAAGCGATGGTGGCAAAGTTCCCAGGCTGGCAGCTTAGAAGGAACATTAAATACAAATGTGCTCTATAACTCAAAATAAACCACAGGAAGTAGGAGTCTTGGTTCTCAAACATAATTTCTGTACACAGATATACAATGGTTTTAATTAGAAAGGAAAATAGAAATTATTATTGGGGAAAATCTCTAGATAAATCCAGGGGTCTTAAATTCAGGTTGTTCTGCCCTTCCCAGCCAGGTGGTAAGGAGCAAGTCTCCTCTGTCTGTTCTCTGAACTTGTTTCTTGATAAGTGCTCTCTCTGCCATCAGCTCCAAATGAAATGATGGGTATCAATTTGCTCTGTAAAAGCAAACAGTTATACATTGTCAAGTGGAATTGTTTTCTATTTGCCTGTTGTTGATGCTAGGTGTGGTCGAGTTGGGTCCAACACATAGGGACCCTATGCACAACAAAACAAGACACTGCCTGGTTTCGCACCAACCTCACAATCATTGTTAAGCTTGAGCCCACTGTTCCTGCCACTGTACCAATCCATCTCATTGAGGGTCTCCCTCTTTTTTGCTGACCCTCCACTTTACCAAACATGATGCCCTTTTCCAGGGACTGGTCCCTTCTGATAACATGTCCAAAGTATAAGAGACAAGTCTCATCATCCTGGCTTCTAAGAAAGCATTGTGGCTGTATTTATTCCAACACAGATTTGTTTGTTCTTCTGGGAGTCCATGTACTTTTAATATTCTTCTCCACTGATCTTCACAGCAGAACCTTGGGGAAGCTTCTCTTTCTACACTGTGAAGGGACTTCAGAAAGCTCATGGAAAAAAATGGAATTAAAGATAATGGAACTGTTCCATGAACTTTTTGAAGTACCCTCATATGAACTAGATCAAACATATAAACAAATAGAACAAAGACAGGAAAGAAATCCACCAAAATGTTTTAAGCAGTTATTTTGGAGGGTAATAAGGAGAGAGATTATGGCTGTTTTTATTTTCAGTGTTTCCCAAATTTTTTATAATGCATATATATTTTAAAAGGAGCTCTGGTAGCGTAGTGGTTACGAATCGGGCTGTGAACCTTAAGGTCAGCAGTTCGAAACTACCAGCCGCTCCACGGGAGAAAGATGAGGCTTTCTACTCCCGTAAAGATTTACACCCTCGGAAACCCTATACAGGGTCGCTATGGGTCGGAACCGACTCAACGGCACTTAACAACAACAACAACATATATTTAAAAAGCAAAAATAATATTTTAAAAAAAGAAATGATATATCTTGATGATAATCTCTCTTCCCAAGTATATAAAAGTCAAAGTAAAAAGAGTTAAGTGGGGTAAAAAAAAAAAATGTTCTGAAAGTAGCTGGTAATCTTCATAGCTCCTAGTACATTCTTTGGCCATCAGGAGGATTAAATATGAGAAAATGACAGCTTGCTGCTTTACCCAGGCACAAACCTACAGATTCGAAACGGATACTTGAATGTGCTGAACTGTCCGGAGCATTTCATTCTCTAGCATGCATGCACTGTATTCTTTTATTTGGGTTGAGCTTCCTTAATATTTATATATACCTCATTAATATTAATATATAATACATTTATATATTTAATATTTATGTATACTGCAAAAGACATGCCATTCACCTGGTCACAGGATGCTGAATCTTGAAAATATAAGTCCTGGGTGCTAAGTTCTGCAAGGTACATTTTGCACATCCATAAAAAGGATATTGAATTGCATCCCATGGACACTATTCTAAATTTTAGAACAACTTCATAATCTCTAAGTGATGTAGGACAGGCTAGGGAAACATCTGAATCTGGTAGTTGTCACCTTATTTCCTCCTGGATTCTAGTAGTGTGAGCTTTATTCTGCCATCAACCCTCTGCCATGAACACTTTAGCTAAATTTACTTTCTACCTTATAAGGATCCCTGGTGGCGCAAAGGATAAGTGCTCAGTAATAACCAGATGGCTCGTGGTTTGAACTCACCAGCTGCTCTCCAGGAATAAAAACCTGGAGATCTGTTCTTAGAATGATCACAACCTAGGAAGCACTATGGGGGCAGTTCTACTCTGTTCTACAGCACTGATGTAAGTCAGAATCAACTCAATGGCACACAAAGCAACGCTATCTATCTTAAGCCAAATCATTGATGTTGAGGAAGAAAGAGTTGTGGCCAATAAGGATGACTCTCCAGGTTTACATCCATTTAACTGCTTAGCATTTGAGTTTCACTGTTCAAGCATCAAGCTATCATTCTGCCTTGTTGGTAAGTGCCGTCGAGTCAGTTTCGACTCATAGATACCCTGTATAGGGTTTCCAAGGAGCAGCTGGGGGCGTTGAACTGCCAACCTTGTGGTTCGAAGTCCAGTGCTGATGCTACAGCGCTACACCAGTACTTCACCATTCTGTCGTTGTTGTTGTTAAATGTCGTGGAATTGCCTCCAACCCATAGCGACCCTGCATAGGGTTTCTGAGGAGCAGCTGGTGACCTTAAATGGATGATTCTACCTAGACCTCTATAATTTATCTACAAGGGCACCATTTGAAGACAATGTCTTCAATGAAAGCAACACATGCCATCATGCCATCACCAATAAAATGTTTCATTGGTACCCAGGTCATATAACATTTCTTAGGTTCTGGAAATTCAAAATAGTATAAAACATGAGTCTTGCAGTTCATAATGGAAGAGCAAAGTTAGCATTTGTATCTTTGTTGTCTCCTGGTGGTACAACAGTTAAGTGTTTAGCTGTAAACTGGAAGGTTGGTGGTTTGAACCCACCCAGCCACTCAGTGTGAAACAGTACCTGACAGCTTGCTTCTGCAAAGATTATAGCCTA